CAGTCAGTATTTAAAATTTGTTTAACAAACTGAAATATCTGTTAATATAAATTCTTATATTAATGATCTTAAAAGTTTTGATAAAAAATTAAAAACCTCTCAGGGCCTCTGTACTCATATTAATGTACTCTGATAAAATCCAAAAGACTTTATTATAAGAGGTTTTTAAATACAAATATAAAAAAAAGTCTGCTAGTTTTTATTTACTCCAGTGGCTCATCTTTAATTTAGCAACTGTAGTAAAAGAAAAATGCCTAGGAAAAATGTTGTTCTTTGTTAAATGAGGTTTAGAAATATATTAAGGAAAGTTTATACAAACTGAACATTGTTGTACCAGTCACTGTTCCAGTGCATGCTAACAGAGATGTAGAATAAAAGAAAATATAATGCTGAAATTAATATACAAAAATGATTGCTCTAAGAGATAAGGTATCAAATAAAAATCTTTATGTCAGATTTATGTATGTAATCTGATAAAATCATATTAAATATTTTCCTTTTTAAGGTAAACAACTCATTTGTTATACAAAAGGCAGTATGAAGAGTCATTTAATATATCTGCTTGCCTATATCTTTAAGGAGCTTATACAGACAGATGCCAATATAAATGCTGCTGGAACACAAAGGGAGAATATTATACACAAATACATAAATGACATTAAAAATACACTAGAACTCACAAAATAAAACATATTAGTTCTAAATTGTATGGCTTTAAGCCACTGGCTTTTGAACACTTATAAACTTCCCATATAATAATGGACTTTATTGCTCATTTACTGCAAGGTCAGGCAGGCTATTGTGATAGACAGTCAGGTGCTAACTAAATTCATATCCCATCATAAAAGCAAAGACAATTTGACCTAAACTGTCAATAATATATGATACTTAAAAAATGCTCAGAAAATCGCTGTGTATGCGCTACAAGTATTCACTGGAAAATTATGCTTTAACCAAGATCCAAGACACTTATATATGATCATTATGTCCTGTTAAATTCCCCAAAACATAAGAAAGTTTATTAATGCAAAACACATTAAAAATGCTATCAAATTTCTTCTGTGGTGTGTGTTGGTGGTGAAGACTGCAAAGAAAAGATGTTTTCTATTAAAGGTTCTGACAAACTTGAGAAAGCCATCTAAAAACACTATCAGTCTACAGCACACATGCTTTTGAAATTAAATGCAAAGGGGATGTTCTTAGCATCTTGTTACTTTGAAAAATCCAATTTCCTCTAATATTTTAATTAGGCTACAAATTTAGAATCTCATTAGAAATAAAAGGTTATGCATATATTTAAAATGGGCTTAACTACTCAGAGAAATCATCCATCTTACTTTTTGGCTATGCATTCAAGTTTTAAGCACAAGGAAGAAAGTATTTAATATATTTGAAGGTTTGTACTCAGCAGTACAAAAGCAGATACTTTTTTCTTTACTCTATCTAAAGAAGCCATACCTCTTTTTCCCCAAAGTAACTTTTTCCATCTCTTTGACATGCATTGCTTTTTTAAAATTATTTTTAGTATTTTCACTAATTCTTCTTATAATATAATGGAGAAACAAAGCTCCAATTAGGCACTCATCCTTTTTAATACCTTTGTTGTGGATTATTCCCAAGTAACCAGGCGAATAATCTATCTATTCAAAAGTAGACTCATAGACTAGGCTTCCATAATAGCTCCAGATGGTTGGTAGCAGAAGAGTGTAAGGACTTGGCACCACCTCAAAGAGCAAAAGATAGTTGGGAGTAGATATGGATGGATAGTTGGGATTCACAAATAATGAAACTGTAATAAAGGCATTACAGGCCACAAAACCTTACTCATGCCAGGCTCACGTTAGGGTAAACATGCTGGAAGTAAAGAAAGTTCCTAAGACCAAATAACAATAAATATACTCTGAAAATGTGAAGGAAAAAAAATTTGAAGATCTACTTTCTCTCTGCAGCAAAGAGGATGGGATATGTGACTTATTTTATCATATAAATTTGTCACCCCTATCTCTGAGAAAGAGTGCATTTTGATCTCTTTCTCTCTCCCTACCAAAAATTGCTAGACTATTGGCTGAGAATCACATTATTCAGACCTGTTTCATATGCAACATGTTTTAGATTTTTCAGATCTGTTTCAAATGCAACAGGCTACCTCCTTTCTTCCACATCCTGAATATCTCATTCATAAGTTTCTGTATCTTCCTTTAATAGTTTGTACAATCCCACCAGAGTTTTTTTGGGGGTCAGGATATTTCACAAGACATAGTGATTTATTTTTCTTCACCCCCCCAAAAATGGGAATGTTAGTACCTGCTTCAAATGAAGCAGGTAAGAAGACTAAATGAAATAATGATTTTAAAGTGATTAGCACATTGTCTGGCATGCAAGTGTTCAATGACTTAGACATTATCACCAAGACAATTTATATTGACAAATTATTTGACAGAATGATTTCAGAAGGGTTAACATTGAATAAGTACTAAAATTTATATGTTTAGTACCTGGTGTGCATCCAATAAATATGGTTTGAAACTATACATTCCTCTCAAAGGTGAGTTACAGAAGTACATTTTTCAGCAGTGATCAGACATACACAAGTCCACTTCAACTTTCAGCCACCTTCTACCTAAACCCCAGACCTACCTCATTTCCAGACTTCTATATTAAAATCATTCAGGCATGTTGGGAATAAAAATATAAATCTAAAAGGCTCTTTACAGATATAAGGTAATATAACAGTTTCTTTTTCATTCATTTCTCTTATGGAACTCTGTACAGGAACAAATGCAGCAAGTACCTATTTGATTTGTTCTTTTATACAAAAATTTCTATTATAATTTTTGTGTTAAACAGACTTTACCAGTTTTTTTATTTCTATTTTATTCTTTTAAATATACAGAATAAAACCAAGATCATTAAAGAAGTATAATTTATTTCAACATAAAGCTTCTTGTTCTCTATGTCAAATAACAAGAATAGAAAAGAATTTTATATATGCATTGTGAAACTCTTTCGTAGCATAACACTACTGCAGCTAAAACTACTTCCTAAGACTTTTTAATCGCTAGTGTACAACCTGACCTATGTGCAGCCAGAGGTGCTGAATGAAGATCTGTACAGAAGAACTGAACAGCATGACTTGGGCAGGGGGGATAGGAACAGGATGGTAGTGAAGAGTTCTGCTCATCTGGGGATGTCAGTGGGGCCTACCATTTACTGAAAGGACCGAGGGCTCTAGGGTTTACAAGGGCTGCAGTGGTACAGGCTGCTTTGTAGCAGGCTAGTTCTAAGATGCCGTTTAAGAGTATTTTGTCTATTCCTTTAGCTCTCCCAATGTGTCTGGAATTATGTTACCTAACTCTTCAGTAAATCACCTTTTGCTTTAAGAAGCTGATTTGGACTTTGTTGTCTGAAACTAAGAACCCTGACCAATAACCCAAAAAATAAAGAACATTTCAAAAAAACTCAGTAAACCCCTCTGTCTACATAAGGCTAAAAAATATGCACAACTAAAAACAGTTTTTCAGGTCTTCACTACAGTTTTACATTTGCTCTACTTTGATTCATGTGAAGGACACTGAAAGAAGATTTGAAATATTATTATTTAATAATACTGGTAATACGGCAATTTCTATCTAAGAATTCCTTTATAGATCGATCAACTGTCATTAATCAAGAGGTCTTTTTTAATTCTCAAGGATTACTAACATCAAACACAGAGCAAATCTAAGAGTTAAAACCTTTAGTCTGTAATTTCAATTGACCAAATCATTTCAGTTAATATAAAGGAAAACTGGAAAATCTGGGAGAAATGAATGGGAAAAATGAAATTTTGTTTTTATCAGTTAAATATAATGGGTGCCCCGAAATCATAAATCTGGGATCTAGATATTTACCTTTTAAAAACTGTAAAACCAATTTCAGTGAAAAGAATTCCTCAAAACATCAAAGCACACTGTTAAACTCACTTGGATAGAAAATAATTATTGGATCAAAATGAACAGAAACAATTTTTAAGAAGCCATAAAATCTTTTGTATGTCTATCTTTTAAAAAATCACGTTCAAGAGTCAAAGTCAACATGACTATAATGTGTTTCACACAGTTACTGACCATACAGTTTTAGGTAAAATTTTAATTTTTAAGGTATAATTAGTATTTCAAAAACTATACAATTAATTTTTTAAATAATATAAATATTTATATCAATACCACCTATGTAAATTCATACTTTCTTAAGTACAGGCCCACATTTTCTTAACATTCTGAGTCTCCTCGTAAAAAATATTATCTTAGTATTAATATACATTTAGAAATTATTTGAGAAAGAAAAAAATTAAAATATTTTAATAACCTAACATTTCTGGCTACTTTGTAGGTGCTTCCACATATATTAATTCATTAATCTGTGTAACTAGTCTACAAGATAGAAATTATTACCATTTTTCTTAAAACAGTTGATTAGTCTGAGGTACAGATTACCTAGGTAACTTGAGCAAAGTAACAAGCTAGTGAGTGGCAGAACCAAATGTGAATCCAGACTAACTTTTCTAATGCCCATTACACCAGGATGCTTCTTTAAAGAAAGGTATATCATCATTTATTATATTTTATACAGGAATATAAAATATTATACCAAATAAACATATTTTACTCCCATCTACATTGAGTGTTAAGAGCTATTAGGAGGTGTAGGACATGAACTTGTCTATGAAGATAAAGATGAGTGCTCTCAGTTAGTTACATGAGAGGCAATAAGGAAGACTCTATAAAGAAAAATCATTGTGCAAACATGGTGTCCTACTACTTTCTCCTCTCAACTAAACTAACTTTTTTGAAGTCTACTGACCTATCAAAACAGATCCGTTCAATAGCCTAACAAAGGCAAAGACAGACTGTCGAGGGCAATAGTCTTTTTCATTTATCACAAGTCTGGTAATTAATTCATTAGCCTGCCAATCAACTGCACTGCTAGTGAGATTTGTGAAAAGAGATGAAACAGCTTACCGTGCACATGGATGTCTTTGTAATTTGCAGGGTAAAATTTGAAGAAAATTCCAAAGCTGAGACAGATGTTGTATGGCAATCTATTTGCTACCCATTAAAAAAGAGTGGAAGGAAGAATTTAGTAAAAACAGTGAAAACAAAACCAAAACCAAACAGATAAATATCCTTTTTTATGCAGTAAACCAATGTTTTGCAAAGTTTAATCATTCAAACCTCACTTCTGGAGTTGTTTTCAAATTTAAAGGCTACTAGCACTATCATTTAGTTAATTTTTGTATAAACCAAATTAGCATTTTTTTACTTAGACTTCTTGTAAGAACACTATATATCAAATCATGGCTCTGATGTGCTAAAGTTTTTCTAAGATACACTAAAATATTTTCAAATAAAATTCTTTTCTTGTTCTCCAACTAAAATCATTTTGTATACTACCAGTGGTACACATTTGCTATAAATTATGCATGGTAAGAGTCAACATTTTTATAGGAAATGCCAACTTGAAAACATAGGCTAATGAAAAGGATAAGGTGTTTTAGGATTCCTTTTTGGTAATTGCATTTGAAGAAAAGTTTGTTAGATATTAGGAAAAGCTGTAACGGATAAAATCAAAGAGCCAAACCAAGGAAGAAGATTTAACTCAGGAAAACAATGGCCAAAGAGCCTTATTTTCCTGTTCTGCCTTGGTTCAAGTCCTTCTTCACTTCACTATGGAGAGCAGATGGGGACAGGCCATGGCAGTGGGACAAGAGGGAGGCCATGAAGGCCTGACTTGCCATGAGTAGATTATGACATAGCATACACAATTCACAGGACTATATAACTGAGCCTCTTTTAAATAGCTTGAGAAAATTTTAAAGAAGTTATAGTGTGGTTGCCTTCTATTTGTAGAGGATTGTGGAACGTGGAACAAAATATATTTACCTAAACAAACAGGTAAATAAACATTGATTAATGTTTAAAAAAAACAGAAAGGGTATGTGTACATTTTAAATACCTTCATTATCAGTCTAAAATTTTCTACTTCAACTATTTCTTCACAGCAGTTTTTGGCATTAAACAAAGAGCACTAGAGAGAAAAATGAGCCCCTTCCCCCAGTACCCTCCTCTTTTTTCACAGCCTTGAGGCTGAGTTGATTGTACACTCCTACCCATAATCAAAGAATACAAATAAATCTCTTACTATCAGTGTACCAGAGCCCTCAACAGTACTATAATCATTAACCAGGCTATAGTTTTTTCTTAGAAGCTAAATGCAATTTTAATCAGCTTGCTCTTGTTGAGAAAGTTTTTAAGTTTATTATTCTATGCCAACTTTAAAAATTTTTTATCTATTAAGAAAATTAAATATTTATTGAATATCCATTTTATGCAGAGAACAATTACTGATGCTATGAAAGTGTGACTACAAAAAGCAATGTTCTGAACCTAAAACTGAACAAACTAAATTTATCTATTAAAACAGACAAATTAAGGACTTTTTTTTTTTGAAGATTTTATTTATTTATTTGACAAGAGAGAGAGAGCACTAGTAGGCAGAGTGGCAGGCAGAGGGAGAGGGAGAAGCAGGCTCTCCGCTGAGCAGGGAGCCGATGTGGGGCCCGATCCCAAGACCCCAGGATCATGACCTGAGCTGAAGGCAGCCGCTTAACGGACTGAGCCACCCAGGCGCCCCGAAATTAAGGACTTTTTAAGAAAAGCAATGACTTTTCACTGCAAAGTTATTATTTAACCTATGTAAATATGACCCAGCAAAATTCACAATAAAACTAGAGATTGGCATGGTGAACAATAAGATTTTATTTTATTCATTTATTTTTAAAAGATTTTATTTATTTATTTGACAGAGAGAGACACAGCGAGAGAGGGAACATAAGCAGGGGAGTGGGGGAGGGAGAAGCAGGCTTCCCCCCGCAGCAGGGAGCCTAATGTGGGGCTCAATCCCAGGACCCTGGGATCATGAGCTGAGCGGAAGGCAGATGCTTAACAACTGAGCCACCCAGGCACCCCAACAATAAGATTTTAAAACACAAAAGGAATTAACTGAAAAATGTGAACAGAGTAGGGCTTTAGTTTCATAGGCAAATTTACTGTAATTACTTAATTTGAAAAGGTGGAAGAAATTTGAATGTGAGATGTTAAACTGTGTAGAATATATGATATGAATGAATAATCTGGCTGTAAATGAGAAACTATAACAAGGCCAGGGAGGTGGTGATGAAGCAGAAATGATAATATAGAAGGACTCTTCGCCTTCAAAACCCCTCAGTATAAGGAACTGCGATGTACAGAGAAGTGATTCCAAAGGATGATATTGTCAACTGGTAAATACTGTAACCTCAAGGTACATTAGACTGGTTAATATAGGAAGAATAATCACTGTTTTGAAAGACCATATATAATATCAATATGTTAATTTCAAATACTGAACTCATAAATGAAAACTAGTAAAAATGGCAATTCTGTTAAAATAAAACTGGTAAAAAAACACCTACCTTAATACTACAAGCATCTGAAATAAGAGTCTTCGGATCTAAAACTTCCACAACAGCTTCTGGAATAACTGCTTTCTTCATACAGGACATGTTGAAGCCATAAACATTATCCCAAAAAGCAATTCTGTCAGCATGTTTATTCATATCACTTACTGCCACAAGGCTGATAGTGCAAATATCAGGGTAGACTGTAACAGATAAAATACTCAACAATTTATCATTATCTCCGTTTGTGGCAAAATATACTTATTTAAAGGCTAAATATAAATCCCAAAATCATCAGTATGAATTACTAGCAACTGATTACTAGTAGCGGGGGATTAATGGAGGTATAGGTCAGGGAAAGTAACCAAGTTCTATCTAGTAGCCTTTTTTTTTTTTTTTAAAGATTTTATTTTTTTATTTGAGAGGGAGAGAATGAGAGACAGAGAGCACAAGAGGGAAGAGGGTCAGAGGGAGAAGCAGACTCCCTGCTAAGCAGGGAGCCCGATGTGGAACTCGATCCCGGGACTCCAGGATCATGACCTGAGCCGAAGGCAGTCGCTTAACCAACTGAGCCACCCAGGCGCCCTCTAGTAGCCTCTTTAAAAAAAAGATTTCCATTACAGTGATGGCAAGATTAAAATAAGGATTTCAATGATGGGTTATTACAATAATTAAAGCAAGAGAGCATAATTGAATAAACCAGAAATGAACATATTTGTTAAACTTACAATATGCTAACTTTAAAAAGATACTAAATCTTTATACATTACTCTGAAACATGCAGAAAGAGACAAATCATTTAAAAAGGGGCAATTATTGGTGATGTAATAAATACTAATAAAGGGGAGGTATAAGGTACTGAGGGAGCTCACAGCAAAAATAGCTAATTCAGATTTGGCTATAGCAGGGGTGTGGGTATTTTTTTTTTATAAGATTTTATTTATTTATTTGACAGAGAGAGACACAGCGAGAGAGGGAACACAAGCAGGGGGAGTGGGAGAGGGAGAAGCAGGCCTCCCGCAGAGCAGGAAGCCCAATGCGGGGCCTGATCCCAGGACTCGGGGATCATGACCTGAGCCGAAGGCAGACGCTGAATGACTGAGCGACCCAGGTGCCCCAAGGGTGCGGGTATTATATGAGAATTGAAGACCACATAAATCAGGAGTGGGGAGGGAGTTTTTAGGCAGAGTGAGCAGTGTGCATATGGGGTCACAATTAATATACACTCCAATTTAAGAGAGTGAGATATAAGACTATAAAGGTAAGCAGGGAGCAAAGAAAACATGGCTGGATAAACCATGTTAGTAAACCGGATTTTATTCTAAGAATAATGACAAGCCTGTGAACAATTTTACATAGGGTAACAACCTGATCAGATTTTGGTTTTGGAAAAGCCAGATGGAGTACAATGTGGAGAATGAATGGGAAGATGCAAGATTAAGACAAAGACTAAACAAGAGATAGTTGTAATAACCCGCATGATCTGCAGTAGAGCAAAGGCTGTGGGAATGGAAAGGGGGAGATATAAACAGCTGACCCTTGAACAACACGGGTCCATTTACACATGGATTTTTTTTTTTAAATAAATACAGTACAGTACTATAAATGTATTTTCTCTTATGATTTTAATAACATTTTTTCTCTAGCTTACTTTATTGTAAGAATACAGTATATAATACATGTAACAGACAAAATGTGTTAATCAGCTGTTTATGTTATTGGTAAGGCTCCTAGTCAACAGTAGGCTATTAGTAGTTAAGTTTTGGGGGGAGTTAAAAGTTATAGATTTTTGACCACATAGGAGGTGGGGCAGGTGATGCCCCTAACTCCCACATTGTTCAAGGGATATTGAGGAGGAAGAACTCACAGGATTGGCTGGCTGTGGAGGTAATGAAGAGGGAAGAGTCATGGACAAGTTTTTAGCTTCAGCAGCAAGGCAGATCTTGGTATTAACCCTTACATTAGAGAATAAATAAGGGCAGAGTCAAGAGGAACAAAAGAGTTCAGTGCTTATGGGACAAATGGGTAAAAATATCCAATAAGCAGCAGAATAAACAGGACTGAAATTTAAGAGATGATCTGGGTTCAAGATATAAATTTGGGATGATGATCATATGAATGGAAATGTAAGTTACGGGAGCTCATGAGGTCATCTCTCCCTAGATGGTACCCCCAAGATGAGTACCAGAATCTGAGGGATGTGTAGAAGGGAAGGAGGCTGATAATAAACGGCTGAGAAGCTGGGGCCACCAAAGCAAGAAGAAAACCAGGAGAGTAAGTATTAAGAGAGGTGACAGAAGAGTGATTCAGGAAGAAACTATTCTAATAACAAGGGTAAAAAGTCTGTACAGCACCAAATTAAAAAAAATAATATTGGGGGTGCCTGGGTGGCTCAGTCGGTTAAGCGTCTGCCTTCGGCTCAGGTCAGGAACACGGGATCCTGGGATCTAGCCCCACATCAGGTTCCCTGCTCACCGGGGAGCCTGTTTCTCTCTCTCCCTCTGCCCCTTCCCTCCCCCACTTGTGTTCTCTCTCGCTCACTGTGCTCTCTCTCTTAAATAAATTAATTAATTAAAAAATATTTTTCTCTGACAAATAAATAACAAAATTAATTTTGTCCTTCAAATAAAATTCAGGGGATTCATGAATTAAAGTAGAAATCACATTTTCTTATATCAATAAACTGAAAACAAGTACATATGTACCAAAGAAATGCACAAAAGAAATAATTCCATGATTATTAACTAGTCTTTAAACAGCAGAGAAATAAGCCTCCCCTTCTGCCAAACTTTGTTTCTATCCACAGCCTTAGGAATTTATTATTCAATGACAGCAGCACTAAATTATCTTCCTAATAAAGCCCATGATAAGATCTCTTGGCATCAAAGCAATTGCTCCTTTCAAGCCTGACGTGTGAGATACCCAGAAAAAATACTTGCGTGCTATGTCACTGATAAGAAGTTTCTCAAGTCCTCCCTACAGGGGCATGTGAGGCAGATGTGATAGCTGCACTGGGCTAGAGTACTGGGTATGGGGCTAGCATGGACCGTTGAGTTACTTCTCCGGTCCTCCTCTTCCACCTACACAGGGTAAGTCTCTTGACTGTGTTTAAAGTCCTGACTAATAGAAATTCTTCGAGGTATCTGATTTGTTGCTGACTATGCTGAACTAGCAAGAGCTTGAGCTATAGGAAAGCATGTTTAGTTTCTTGAACCAGATCCTCAGATGAGAAACATTGAAGCAGAAACAGAATTCTAAAGTAACTTTAGATATCTGGCAACTTCTTTATGTATCTTTTGTTGGACTTAGTAAGAAAATCATACAAGTTTCCCACATTTTGCCCTGTAACTCCATCCTTAAAAAGGAATATAGTTAGGGTACAGATCAGGGATCAGCAACATTTTCTGCAAAGTAACTATTTCTGGTTTTGTGGGCCATATGGTCTTTGTTGAAACTATTTATCTTTGCTGCTAGAACTGTGAAACCAGCCACAGACAATATGTACATAAATGAGCTTGGCTATGTTCCAAGAAAACTTTATCTACAAAAACAGGCAGCAAGCCAGATATGTATATCCCTGATATAGATGTGGGAGAAATGGATGAGGGAGGTCATTATCAGAGCCACCATATTGTACTACTTCAGGGAGTGCCATTCACACTATAGTCTATGGGAAACTGAATATCCTTCTGAGTCTTGTAGTGCACAGACATTCAAGTTACTTAACATAGCTCAGAGTTCTTTTATTTCAGATATTATTAAAAATCTTAGTGAAAAATTTAAAATATCATTAGTCAGGGGCTGGCAAACAATGGCCCATGGGTCAAATTCAGCCCCCTGACTATTTCTGTAAACAGTTTAACTGGAACATTGCTACTCTCATTTATTTACCTATGGTCTATGGCTGCACTGTGTTCTAGAGGCAAAGCTGAGTAGTTGGAACAGAGACTGGAGGGCTTACAAAGCTGAAAATATTTATTGTCTGGTTTTTGTAGAAAAAGTTTGCCGACCTCTGGCTCTATATCAAGCACTATGATATACTAGTAATATTACTAAGAAATAAGGATAACTTTTTCACAAGGAAAAACTACAATTTACTAAAATAAATTTAAAAAACTTTAAAAATATTTTGGTAAGAAGAAACGGAATATGACTTTACTTTTTCTAGTGTTGAGGTACATTTTTCAAGGTAGTTATATTTCACAAAGATACAGAAAATTATGGTTTCTTTATTTGCTAGCATTTAGAAATGAAATTATTTTTTATCTTTGTTAGTAAGAGGTATGAATATTCATAAAGGACCTGTAATCAGTGTTACAGGTCAGTTTAGTTCCATATCCACCTCCTCACAGCTGGCTAAAATTTTGGGCCACCTGCCAGAATCCTGACTAACCCTTTACCTTCACATTCTGACACATTTGTCATTTGATTTTTGTCCGATAGAAGCATAATTGAGTAATTATACCTTCTTGTAGGTGAAATTAACAAAGCGCTGATTGGACAAAGCACCCTCTTAACAGACCATTTATAAATTCATGGCTTTGACATCTGTGTCCTTCTCGATTCACTGCCCAGAATTCATTTGTCACTAGAACAGCTCACATGGTGAATAGATAAAGATGGGAAATCCTTTATCCCTTAGAAATGCCTCACAAACTTTGGGACACTAAAGGGTAAAACTGAGATGCATAAAGAAACAATTCCTAGTAAGTACTGGCATCACTGCATGTATATAAATAACCAGAGAGTAAAAAGGTTTAGAACAAAAGGAGATAATAAGTCAAAATAAACTATTCTTTTCACAATACACGCTAACAATATGGAGAAAGATTTTAGTAAATTAACAGTTAATGACAAAATGATTGATATGTATAAAGGGAAGTATACTACTAAGCTACTAAATCAGCAAAAATTCTGAAGTTGAATAAGCTTAAAAATCAATTTCCAATTTATTTATTTATTTTTTAAGATTTTATTTATTTGACAGAGAGAGACACAGCGAGAGAGGGAACACAAGCAGGGGGAGTGGGAGAGGGAGAAGCAGGCTTCCCGCAGAGCAGGAAGCCCAATGCGGGGCTCGATCCCAGGACCCTGGGATCATGATGTGAGCTGAAGGCAGACGCTCTACAACTGAGCCACCCAGGTGCCCCTCAATTTCCAATTTATATAATAAGGATGTCTTAAAAAATTAATTCTTATTTGG